AAAAAAAAAAAAAAAAAAGCAAACAAACAAACAAAATTAAATACATTTATGTATTTTTTGTTTTATTAAAAATATTGCATGAGCGATGATGATCGTTGCATGCGATCATTATCCGTTTTGTAAGCTCTCTGACAAAATGACGTAATATTTTGCTTCGAACAAGTGTTCGAGGAAAATATTTATCATTTTTCTGAAATAATTTAATATTTTTTATTTAATTAATAATGAATTGACTTTATTATATCATACCAGAGTTTAGTTCAATGATATAATATTTCTCAGAACGCAGTACTATGTAATATTTAATCGAAGTGAAGTAATGTTAGTTTTTGAACAAATATTAAAAAAATGAATTGAGCTACAGAGAACAGTAGTATATATTAAAGTGTTCCTTCTATACCGCACACCGAAGCGTAGTTTAGTCTTTAGTTCTGTTGAATAACGGTAACAGGTATGAAAGACTCGCTCCCAGCCGAATAGAATTTTCTTTCATTTTCTTTTTAAATATAATTTTGAAATAACACACATTCAAACCTACTTCAATTCATATTCGAATTTTCTTCATCTTTTCGTCTAAAATATATATATATATATTTGATATGCGTGGAAGAGCAGATGTTCCGCTGGCAAGAAAGATTCAATATATCTCCACCGAAAATAGCATCGACACAATATCCTGGTCCCTTTTATCTCTTTTCCCAGCACTTATGATAATGTTTTAGCCAACTCAGCAAACCATTTGCTGTTGATTTGCTGGCTCGTATTCTTGGAAACGGATCGTATTCAAAATTTTAAAAAAATTCACAGCAGTAATGCAAACTTCTTGCGCGGAAGGAGAGACTGGGAAATTTCAACTACACTTGAAATGATGCAACAACTTTCAGATCTTATGAATTAAAGAACATATACGCCTCCTTCCATTTCCACACACTTGCTGTCCTGTAAAAAAAATTTATGCAGTGAATGATTTGCAGTAAAAGGGAAAGACATTTGCTGGTGTTCTGCTTGATATATGGGAAAAATATTTTACTAGCACCTACTTTGAAGAAGCCGCTATTTATGTCCATCATCGCAGGACGAGGAGTATATTTATTTTGTCAAAAGATTTGCAATACCCAAAGGGACGCATCAGAGACGAGAACGCTTTCGCTGTCCGTGTCTCTTGCTTGTTGCTCATAACTTG